ATCATTACATTGCATTAGAAAATGAAAATAATATTTTATAGAATACAAATAATAGCTGAATCCATTTATTTATATAATAGAAGCAATAAATTGTGATCATTCATATAAATTAAATCCTTAAGGTGAGGAAAAGTTTTTTATTGATATACAGTATAATTTTTAAATGATTTACAATGTTTATAAACATTTAGATCTTAAAAGCTATATTGTAACTATTTGTATTTGCCTTGGTATGTTGATATATTGTCTGTATTGTATCAACCTGCCTCCAGAAGCAGTGAATGTTCCAACACTGGAAGTTTTTAAGAAGAGACTGGACAGCCATTTGTCGGAAATGGTATAGGGTTTCCTGCCTGAGCAGGGGTTGGACGAGATGACCTCCAAGGTCCCTTCCAACTTTATCATCATCATCATCATCATCATCATCATCATCATCATCATCATCATCATCATCATTATTATTATTATTATTATTATTATTATTATTATTAGAAACCATCCTTGCTTGATTTTGATTAAACTTCTATTCTGAATATAAGCTGCTAGCTTTGCCATTGCTGTATATTTTCCAAGTTTTCCAAGAGGTACTGTTGGAATTGTATCTTTCTTCTGATGTTGGGTAAAGTTAATACTCAAAGCTGTGAGCAGAATGTAACTTCTTTGCAGGGATTCCTGGCATATGACCTCTTTTAGTGAGGTCTTGAGAGATATTAAAACGGGCTACGTGTTAAACAGATTAATGTAGTTAAACTAAATAAATACAGACTATCTCAACATATACAAAGACAACAGCTTATTGAGGTGGGATAATAATAATAATAACAACAACAACAACAACAACAACAGCTGATGTTGTGCAATGCCAGGTCCGTGGTGAATAAGGCCCCCCTCATCCAAGAACTCATTCACGAGGGGGGAGCGGACCTGGCAGGTATCACCGAGACCTGGTTGGGCATAGAAGGGGGAGTTCCCCTTGTTGATCTGTGCCCACCAGGTTTCCAGGCATTCCATCAGCTGAGGGCCCGGGGTAGGGGCGGGGGGGTAGCGGTCATTATAAGGGAGAGCCTGTGTCCAAGGGAGGCCACTGTGCCTCAGATAGACGGTGCAGAGTCCCTCCTTGTGAAGTGGGGGCAAGGGGTGCAAGTGGGCCTGTTGGTAATATACCTGACCCCCTGCTATGTGTCAACGGCCCTGCCTGAGCTGGCTGACGTGATAGCCAGGGTGGCGGTTGAGACCCCCAGACTTATAGTCATGGGAGATCTCAACCTGCCGTCGGCGGGCGAAACGTCAGCGGTGGCTCGGGAGTTCTTGGCCTCCATGATGACCATGGACTTGACCCAATTAGTTCATGCACCCACTCACATGGGAGGACATACACTGGATCTAATTTTTGTCTCTGGCCAGTGGCAGAATGATCTGGAAATGGGGGAGATAATTATAGAGCCTTTGTCATGGTCAGATCACGCACTCCTTAGGATGGACTTCCGGACCGCTTCCCCTCGCCGCAGGGAGACGGAACCG